CTTTTTGATTGTTGTTAAAGTATAGCCAGGAGGCTTTCCAGTCGATTAGATGAGAGAAGTGAGACCATTCGTGGGCATGATGTTGTGAGAACTATAGAGTAAGAATATCGCAATTTATTTTTTGTGTGAATTGGGTTATTATATAAGTTTTGTATAATCGCCATATTTGTGAGTGAAATATATGATGAACCTATTGCGGGTATATTAGAAGATATAACAATCTGAGATATTTTTTTCTTATGTAAATAAAAATCATATATACATGACGAATTGTTATACTGATTACTTTTGGCAGAAATAATAATAACTAGTGATACAAAAGACAACTCAGTATACAATAATTAAAATATTAGGCACATAGTAGTACTTTCATTATTAGTGTTATCTGTTATGTGTAGTTAGATTAATAATCAGTATTATCATTGCATGAAAAATATAGTCATAAGAATGTTAGTATTATCATTGCATGAAAAATGTAATCATTAAGATAGAATCGTATTGGTAATTAGTAATAGGGATGGGTTAGTATAGTAAATAAAAGAGGGAATGGGAAATGTATCTTTTACTTTAGTCTGTTCAATAAACTATCCAACCTTGTCTTCTTGTTGCTGCTTTGTACACCTCCTAATTTGTGCCCAGTATCTTGAGAGTTGTTACGAAGAGAGTACACAGATTCTGATAAGGCTACTGCTGTAAAGCTCTGAATTTGCTTGATCTTATTAACCCCAATCTCATAAATAAATCATAAATCTTTTGGTCATGCTCTTTTATTTTTCAAAGCAAGCTCTGGCTAACCAATGGAAGTTGAATTCTAACCTCATTATTGACTAACCCTTGAGCCGAATGTTTAGGATTGTTTTTTGTAGTGATTGAACTATTCCTCGAGTGCTTTTTCAAAATAGTGAAGAATAGCTTTGTAAATCGTTTCTTTACTAATTTTTTCAGCGTACGTAGATATTGGAATTGTCTATCGCGGAATTGTATATCTCAGACCTGGCGATCCAAAATGAAATTTTTAATAAGGAAAAAACATGTGAATTACCTGCTGGTATGATCAGTGAAAAAATGATGTATATGTGATAGCAAAGATACGAATCCTCAACTCAAAATATATATATATATAAGCGAAATCATGCCTTCATTTTATTTATATCGGAAGAAAAAATGGTAGGTATATGATATAGTAAAACTCTTTTACATATTTCATACTTGGTCTTTACTAATAATGTATTACTTAGGATTATGATCTTCTCATGAATTTGGGAAACAAAGGCAAACAATTTAATATTGAGTTTCTTGTTATCCCTATCCATGGATTTTTCAGATTTCCAACCAACTATCTTAGGTATGGTCTTGTCATATTCGAAAAAGAATCTATCGATTATATAAAAGCGAAAATTCAGTAGCACTTTCCAGAAGAGTTTAAAAATGTTTCTTTTAATATTCAAGTATTTGATCCCAAAGCCAAAACATATAAAGTCATGAAATTGCAAGATAAAGTTAGTGATTATTTTGATAAAAAGCCTGTAACAGAACATATTCATATTATAGTAAAATCCATTAGTTAGGTTTTATATCTACAATATCATCAGCATATATTAAAAACTTTGTACTATGTGGCTATGACTATTTAGGCCCAATTGCTTTATTAATACAATAAAAAATACCAAGAAATTTTTGATATGTTTAGTAATAAAATCAATTGCGTAATACAGATATTCGATCAGCCACGTAAGTGCCATTACTTTGTAATACATATACATGTCATATCAAAGAAGAAAATTGAAAAAGCCTATAAAATCAAGAACAACAGAAGATTGAGTGATAATTCTTTAGATCAAGTCTTTGACTCTCCCAGTTTATACTAATTAATTCATGAATGAATTGATCACCAGACACAAAATTAGTTTCATACACTTATCTGATTTTTATATATTATGCTGTATATTACAGAAAATCGAAAAGTCGAAGACTCGATCCTTTGAATCATTGTTTAATGTGTGTATATTAATAAATTTTTAATATAATTTTAGCCACTTACCTCTCCTTTTAATTTCTATCCTATACAAAATTTTGGACATAATGTTCGCCCTAGTTATTCAATAATTTTTTTATTTTGAATTGCTTGGTCTGAGATGAGACAAAAATCATACTTCTTTAGGATGTTATACTGTGATTACAGGATTATTCAACGATTAATTTGGTTGTGTTGGATAATAAACTAATCCACTGTTGAGTCGCGGTTGAGTTGCAGTATTTTTTTTCTATATAATTCTATGAAAAACAGGTGTATCACTATAGAGTCATGGTTGAGTCACATTAGAAACTTAGTTATGTGGACTGACGATCAATTGAGCTTATTAATCACCGAAAGAAGAAATAGAAATGCCAAGTATTACAATATTCCTGGAAGTAGTAGGATGAGTTTTTGAAATGATATTGCAAATATAATTAATGAAAGATTTAGTACTAACTATATAGGATATCAATGCAAGAGTAAATTTCAAAATCTTGTAAGAGATCACACTGTAAATATTTTTATGAGGCACTTATTGACAGATTAAACCATAATTAGGTTGTAATACTGTATAATCTAATAATTTTTTTGATCCTTGTTAATTGATGTGCCAATATATGGCAGGAAATCATGCAGGGCATAGAACCAGAACCGGAGTACAATACTTTAAGGAATTCCGTTCACATTTTTGGGAGAGACCAGGTAAGGTTCTACATTAATCTCGGATATTTATCTGTCTTTGCTGTAGGTGTCTTTGAAATAGAAACAAATTATTAATTTGTTAATTATATATAAAAAAATCTAGAAACACAGTTTGATTAGATACATAATGTAAACACATCTTCAAGAAAAAGAAGAAAAGAAAGACGGCAAAACCGCACTCCACCACCAACCTACGAAGAAGTTTCATCAATGCTAAATATGAGTCGCCGTGAATCTTCTGCTGGTCAAAGGGATCGATCTGCATCTCCAGCCCAGAGAATTCTCACCAGAAGAGACAAAACTACTAATCGAGATAATATAAATAATGTAAATAATGCAGATGGGAATTCAGACCATAACACTAATAATGTAGGTAGAAATTTAGATAATACGACATACTCATCTTTATCTAATTTGGTAAAATCTAATTTGGTAAATACTATCTCAACCCCTAATATATCTGCATCACAAAACGATAGTGATATTAGTATGCCCAATATAGAAGATAGCCAACCACCTTCCTGTATAGAAAATATAAATGAAGAAGATTAGCCTCATATTTGTTTTTAGGGGTAGCTTCCCTAAGCTATAAATATTTTTACATCCTATGATAATTGTATAACGGCAATAAATAATTCAAATTTTGATCCATTAGATGATTCAGTTATGTATAAAACATTGCATGGATGTTCACTCAATATTCAATTTTACGTATTGTGATTTCGAATTCGTTATAAAAATATAAAAATAAATATTCAAAAGAAATGTCTGCAAACAAATATGTGTATTATTTTAGATGCAAACCATCTTCATACCATGAGACATAACCATATTAAAAAAATAATCGTATAAATTATAGTATGTACAGTACTTCAGTATTTATGTGTTACTGTAGAATTTTTTCCTATTACTATTATAGCATTAAAGACATCGCATAAAAAATAAAGTTTATGATACAAGTAACTTGAATGGTTTGTACCACATTTCTGCAGAATCTTAGTGTTGTGGTCTGATGATCTAATTCTTTATTGACTTGACGAAGTATATATTATCGTTAATCATAATTTCTTGTTATAGACAAGGTCATATAGTGCCTATGCTTCTACTACTATACTTTTATTTGGTAAGATCAAAGCATTATTCCAAGGAATAGGTGATGTGAAGCGTTGAGTTTTTAACTCCTGAATCTGTTTTGAATTACCTGAATATGCTTTTAGTACATCATCAAGTGGAATTCCCGGCTCTCTTAAATTAGCGCAATGTAAATAATATGTATTTTTACTTTGACTATTTAGCTACTACTTACCATATAAACTCATATGATTTTCTCTACATAGTGGACAATATGAACCTAAAACCCCTCAGTTTGATGCTCACCTTCTGTATCTATGCTATTATTTTTATCCAACTTTGGTGAATCGATAAAATGTATAGTTAATTTATTAATAACTTGATTACACATTTCTTTTAACAGCATTTTTTTTAATAGAAAGAGGTTTAGAGTGGGTGATGCACTTATCTCAATATTTGATATGTCTTTTGAGCTAGATGGCTTGGTCATATGCACGTAAACATTGTTCACGCTGATCACTTTTATTATATTTTGGACTTGTGTATCTGTTAGCCTAGAAATAGTATCAGTACTATATGTAACTTGCTTGATTTTATCTATTCCTATTTCTTTGAATAATGTATAAATATTTCTGGTCTTTTGAGTTTTCTTACACAAATACTCTCTCTTGATGCCAGAAAGAAATGGTTCCATTTCATTATAAATCTGTGTTCTTGCTATTTGATTATTAAGTTCGCTTTTTAAGCTAATGTCTCTAACCTTTTTTTCGAATTTCTCACTATAATGATACCAATGTAAAATTTCTTTTTGACCAGTTTTTTTAGCCTTGTCGAATAAATAGGCCAAATGTGATGCAGAACCCGGTGCTGAATTATCGCCATCTAGCATATTTTCAAGAATTTGTTTATTAGATATAGAATTCGAAAGGCTTTTCTCATTAGTAAATGTAGATAACTCATATATTAAACCTTGTTCAACCTTTTGATTATAGAGAATTTTTACTTCGGAAGAAACGGTACTTTGTGTTTGACTAATAGGTTCTTCTGAAATATTCTGATCAATTTTGGATGAAAAATCCTTACATACTGAATCCAGAAAATTGTCGACCATTTTATCTTCCAGAGATTTAGGTTCTGTGTAGGTAGGAGGTAAAGGAGATCAACTATCTTTTTCCTGGTATATATGAACCTTTTCTACCTTTTCAGTAATATCAAAATTTGAAGCATTATTAGGAGCATTGATACCAAGAGTGTTTACAGATTGGCTAGAAATTGGGGCATTATGTGTCTTAACACTAGCTTCACTATTGATATCAAATGCAGGTGTATCAACGAAATTTTTCATTTCGGTAAGTGTGGTATTAGATACAGAGTATCCCGCTTCACAGACCGAAGAATTTTTAATCTTCTTAATTTCATCATCTATCTTTGCCATATGAATGGTCTTTTCATTATCTTTTTGCTCGAGATTTACAAAGCTAGCTTCATAATCTTTTAAAGTTTGTTCTAATTCCATAATTCTAGCTATAAAACCCACTTCCTTGGCCAAGAATTCAGCCTTTTCTCTTTTTAATTCCGTGATCTCAGCTACAAGTTTCAAATTTTGTTCTTCTAATAAATCATCTTTAGATTGTGTATTTGCCATTTTTTTATATAAAATATGTATATATTCAATTAATCAAAAATGTTTGCGCGTGAACGTTGTTCACGCCGATCACTTTTGCCAAGAAAATTCTCGATCATATTGCGAGTCAATATATATCGATATCAATACAATAAATAAATACACATGCGAAAGTAAACGCGATTATGTATGCGAAATCAGCCACCAGGGCCAGCTTTATTAATAATTGACTATACAGCGATAATAATGACATGCTAAAAAATAATATAATAAACTACAGCACTT